AAGAGTGTACAACTACTTGTAAAATATTTTTTCTCTCTTCTGCCATAGGTTCCACCTGTTCCTGGCCTGTGGGAAGAGTTGTATATGCCAGATGCAGCTCGACACATGGACTTAAAATGGCCCCTGAATAGGTTGTTTGCATTTGCAAACTGATCTCCTTGTATTGCAATCAGAATCCTCATCCTCTGTGATCAGGGTGCTTAATAAGCATCCGGATAACCAGAGATCCTCGTTTTCCCCGATACAAAAAATACAATTTCTCTGACAAAAACCCACAAATTCTCTGATAAAAACCCCCAAATCCACGATTAAAAGGAAATACCACTATATATAGGTATCAATTGAACAAAATATTTTATTGATATATTTACAATTTTAAAGCAATTTGGAAGCCTACCATTACCTCAATCACTATAAGTGCCTATACATTTTGGTGGTTGATTTGGGGGATTTTATAATGGAAAAATCAGAGCTCCCCCTGCCCCCTTCACTCACCAGAACGCAGGCCCAGGTCCCTCACTCCCAAGCCACAGCCCCCTGCCGGTGCCCCTGCCCACAACACCTGGCCCTGCTGGTGCCCCTGCCCCCACCCCCAGCCCTCCAGAGGGGGCCCCCAGCTGCCAGGACCACAGGGCCAGGGACCTGGGTCCACAACTCCCTGCAGCAGCATCCGAGCCCTGGTTGCCATCTGTGGGAGGCAGCAGCTAGTGGAACCCAGCTTCTCCCCCACACCCCTCACCGGCAGCACAACCAGAGGGGAGCCTGTGGGAGGGGAGGGTGCAGGCTGCCCACTGCAAGCTTAGGCTCGGGGTGGGGGCAGGTGCAGGCCCCCTGCCCTGTTGCCCTCCACTGGGGCCTCCACAGTCCAGTAGGAAGGATCAGGCACAGCAGGGTGGAACGGGGCCGAGAAGGGAAGCTCATTGCCATTGCTGCCCTGGCAACACATCCCTTGCCCACCCCAAAGCAGCAGGGGCACAAGTGCATACCTACCACCCCCACAGCTGCCAGGCAGGTCGGGGCACCTTGCCAGAGCAGCGCAGGGCTCGCAGTTCTAAGCAGCAACCAACTTTCACACCTGGCCCCACTCTGCCCTGTTGTACCGGGTTCCACCCACTGGTTCCCATGGGGAAGGCAGCAGGATGGGGAGCCTAAGCCCACCCCAATCTAGGGGGCATATGCCCCCGCTGCCTCCACCCC